TATATATATATATATATATATATATATATATATATATATATATATATATATATATATATATATATATAATTATTATTATTGTTATTATTATATTTACAAACCATTAACTACAACGTTTTCCTCAATAAACACCTAAACTGTTGCTTATTAATAGTTATGTTAAGTTAATGGGTACACTGTAAAAAAACATCTGTGACATTTACGGTAAAATATCGGCAGCTGTGGTTGCCAGAACTTCACAGTAATAAATATAGTAGCAACATTTTAGGTTCCCCTTCAGGAACTCGAGCTGCGTCGAGATTCGCTTTGGTAACGCCCTTGCGTGACCCGCCATACTACCAAGTCCTTGCCTGTTTGTGTATCCTATGAGCACATCATGACGATATCTGGCGGCGGGGGATACACACGATTTGTGTGTCGTTTGTTTGGGAGCGGAGCATGCACGGTCAGCTTTCGAGCAGCTGATTGTCATCACTGTGAGTTACTCTCGCTGCGTATGCTCCGCTCTCGCTTGGCTGTGTTTGATGAGAGCGACCAGGCTCGCGATCCCGCTGTTGCCGAGGCACAGCGCAGATTGTTGTCATGGGGATCGTGGGTGGATTTAGCGGAGGGATCCGAGACGGGCTCGTCCTTTTCTCGGTCCTCACCCGCTAGATCCGCGGCTCTCTCTCAGTGTTCGGAAGCCCGCGGTTTCTCCCCCCGAGAAAAAGAAAAAAAGGAGAGAGAGCCAGATGCTTCCTCTATCTTCCTCCGAGGAGGTGGATGTGATGAGTGTCGAGACAGAGGAAACATCGTGGGGCTGAATGATAAGGGATATGGGGCGATGCCAGTGGTGGAGCAGACGCTTGCGAGCTATCTCTCCCCATCCTCAGCATCGTCCCTGAAGGCCCCCGAAGCTTCCCACCAGGCCCATTAGGCTTACATCGAGTCTGGTTTGGAAAGCTTATACGGCGGTAGGTCAGGCTGGCGCATGTTTGCACACCATGGCGGTGTTACAAGCATACCAGGCTGACCTGCTCGGGTGGGGCTGCTGAGCGGGAGCAGCCCAAGCCATCAAGCTCCTCATATCGCCAGTCTCAAAAACAGAGCGTTGCAACCCGCACCCCTCCACAGAAAGATCGGGGGGTCGGGGCGATGCTCTCAGTCAGCATCTTCTAGACCGAAAACGGATCTGCAGACCGTAATTTGTCTAAGAGGACCTCGGCTAAATGGTCCTACCATTGTCAGGTCCCTGAGGGCAGCCCACCTGGGGAGGAAAGGATAACACCTCAGTATATGGTGCCCAATCCTTCTCAGTGCCCTCACGGAGGGTTAGTGATACCCTGCCACCCTCTGTGCTTCAGGGCTCAGTGAGCTCAGACGAGCGAAAATCCCAGCTGC